TCACTACACTGAAACAAATGCTTTTCAACCGGTGTCTGCAGAGTTAAGAATTACATTAATGTGCAGCATTTTGTTCAAATAGAGACATATTTGTGAATACAAATGTTATGGTTTGTATTAAAGTATCATGATTTGTGCATGTAGCGATTAAAATGTGCATTTGTGGATCAGGTGACACGCGTGCATTCATTCACGTCTCTTCTGAGTCGATTCTGTTTGATTCATTTGAATTTTGAGACTTTCGTTCCGCCCTTTTAGCCTTGCCCAATCCACATACACACAGCTCGCGATCCATGCGCAGCTGAGACACAGAAAATCAGCGACCACTAGATGAAGCCTGGTTTACATAGGCCTAATAAATAGCCAACATTGTGAATATGGAAACATTTGGATTCGTGCCAAATGAGAGAGTAAGAAAGAGGATTATAGGGCCAAACAATAATAAAAAATAAAAAAAACATCTCCAGAATAAAGTAATTAGCCTATAATGCGAGATTAAACTCATTAAATATCCAGAAAAATGTAGAAATAAAATATTGAGAATAAAAATAATTAAATTTCGAGAATAAAGTCGTTCATCAGCATCGTCAACTTCATCTTTGCAGACACTAGGCGCGTTTCCATTACCCTTCAAATTGCGCAAATTGAAATTGCGAATTGAAAATACGCCTAATGGAAATGCGGTCATTTCGCAATACTTTTTTATCGACATTTATAAAATATCGCCAAAGTTTTGTAGGCTATAGCCTATAAAACGCTCGTTTAGTATAGTTTAGTTTAAGTTAATTTAATAGTTTAATTAAATATAAACGTGCGATTACTAATGGCTTAAATGAGCGACTATAATAGCCCTTTTAATAATAATAATAATAATAATAATGATACAAGGAAGGAACAACTGACAACGTGCCGTTGAATTACAGGGAAAAAAAACAAGGTACCGTCACAAAGTTCTTGTTTGGCAAAATGAATATAAGTTATTCTGTGTCTTAAGACAAGTTAAGTTAGAACAACTTCAATAAAACATATTTATTATATTTCTACGGTAGAGGAGAATAGCCAAACCAAAAAGAAACAAAGAAAACACAATGTAACATTCATA